TTTGTTGTTGTTGAGGAAGATTATGGAAATGCACTGCCTGGAAGTGCGGTCGAGACAGATTCACTTGAGGCATTCAAGATGGTGTGAACGAATGTTTGGAGAGAAATGATGCACAAGCATATGGGGAGAAAGCAGTAGATTGGCATTTGGTAATGATGCTCATTTGAAGTGCTGGTGCAGGCGCGATGAGCCAAATGACTGCCTTCTGTGCCATAACACCTCTGTGATTATGTGATGTATTTCTTTTTGTCAAGGCTCCAGATGGAATCCGAAAGTGCATTGTAGCTACAAACATTGCGGAGACGTCACTGACTGTGGATGGGATCATGTTTGTTGTTGATTCGGGATACTGCAAACTGAAAGTAAGAACATGTTAATGTGACACACATTACGGTATAATAGTTCCATTAAATTTAAAGGAACCCAAATATATTTCAACGAAAAGGAATAATTTGTTCGTGAAATTGCATTCATGAAAAATGCTGTCCAAAGGGGTAAATCCTACTAACTTCTAATAATTGGTACACGTTTGATTCAGTATGATGTATGATTTCCCTTAAAAATTAGCAAATCTCATAAAGGTTACAGACCTAGTGCCTGGTGATTCGGTGTTGGTTAGAGCATGTCTATTGGAGTACAGCATGAAATACAGAATTTGTTCTGTTTCACAAATTGAGGATAAGAATTTTGATTCTTTAAGGTAAGCTCCATTAGTGGTCAGATTATGTGCAGGAAATGTTAAGTGGAGAATGTTAGCTGGATATAAATTGTCCCATTGGGAACATCCAACAGGGGTTCATGAAGGATAGGTCATGTTTAACTAATTTGGTGGAATTCTTTGAGGACATTACTTGCATGGTGGACAATGGGGAACCTGTGGATGTGGTGTATCTGGATTTCCAGAAGGCATTTGACAAGGTGCCACACCAAAGGCTGCTACATAAGATAAAAGTTGCGCGGTATTACAGGTAATGTATTGGCATGGATAGAGGATTGATTGACCAGTAGAAAGCAAAGAGTAGAGGTAAATGGGTGTTTTTCTGGTTGGCGGTCAGTGGCTAGTGGTGTGCCTCAGGGATCAGTGTTGGGACTGCAATTGTTTACAATTTACATAGTCCTCAACTCCAAATCGTCCTAAGTGTGGTGTGTCAAAATTTGCAGATGACGCTAAGGTGAGTGATAGAGCAAAGTGTGCAGAAGACACTGAAAGTCTGCAGAGGGATATAGATAGTCTAAGTGAGTGGACAAAGGTCTGGCAGATGGAGTACAATGTTGATAAGTGTGAGGTCATCCATTTTGGTAGAAATAACAGGAAAATGGACTATGTTTTAAATGGTAAAAAAATTACAGCACGCTGCTGTGCAGAGGAACTTGGGTGTCCTTGTGCCTGAATCACTAAAAGTAGGATTGCAGGTGCAGCAGGTAGTTAAAAAGGCAAATGGAATTTTGTCTGCCATTGCTAGAGGGATGGAGTTTAAAAACAGGGAGGCTATGCTGCAGCTGTATAGGGTCCTGGTGAGGCCACACCTGGAGTACTGTGTGCAGTTTTGTTCTCCTTACTTGAGAAGGGATATACTAGCACTGGAGGGGGTGCAGAGGAGATTCACTCGATTGATTCCAGAGTTGAGAGGGTTGGATTATGAGGAGAGACTGAGTAAACTGGGATTATACTCATTGGAATTCAGAAGAATGAGGGTTGATCTTATAGAAACATATAAGATTATGAAACGAATAGATAAGGTGGAGGCAGGGAGGTATTTTCCGCTAGCAGGTGAAACTAAGACTAGAGGGCATCGCCTCAAAATAAAGGGAAGCAGATGTAGGACTGAGGTCAGGAGGAACTTCTTCACCCAAAGGGTTGTGAATCTGTGGAATTCCCTGCCCAGTGAAGCGGTTGAAGCTACCTTGCTGAATGTCTTTAAGGCAAGGCTAGATAAATTTTTGAACAGTAAAGGAATTAAGGGTTATGGTGAGTGGGCGGGTAAGTGGAGCTGAGTCTCAAAAAGATCAGCCATGATCTTATTAAATGGCGGGGCAGGCTCGAGGGGCTGGATGGCCTACTCCTGCTCCTAGTTCTTATGTTCTTATGTTATGTTAACACTCATTTCTGTAAAGGTCAGAGATAAATTAGAAATTCAGTTCTCCAGACATGTATGCAGATAATAGATGCTCATGAAAATTCATTTGTAGAAAAGAAATAACATTGCTTTCTTGGCTAAGGCATGAAATATGGTGAGAAAGGAAGATGACTTTTAAATGAATGCTGTTTGTTTATGCTAAACTTCTGCACAATTAATTTAAACGGAATATCACAGACAGGAAGACACCCTGTTAGGATATTGGTAGTGCAGTATAGTGTCCCCACCTCTGTACCAGGAGATCCAGGTTCAAATCCCACTTGTTCCAAAGGTGTGTAACAACATCTGTGAGCGGCTTGATTTGAAAATATCTACACTATCCTAATTTTAAGCCATCAATGGATTAGAACAAGAAACACTAAGACAAAACAAAAATTTATTTTTTGCTGTTATAAATACATATTGCCTGCCAGGTCATTTTGCTTCAGCGTTTCTGATCCTTTTCTGAACTTTCGAATAGGTTTTTAACCCTAGAATGGGAATGGATGCTCTTCAGATTTATCCAATCAGCCAGGCTAATGCCAATCAACGTGCAGGTCGAGCAGGGAGAACAGGTCCAGGCCAATGTTTTAGGTAAGAGCAAGTGATTTTCCACAATTTCTGTTCAGTGCATTTCCATCTCTTCTTTGAAAGACGTACAGTGACTACTCATGAAATGTGCTCACGTGTGAATGCTGAATGATGCCCACTCATAATTGTATAGCCTATTAACATCTGCACATGAATAGAGATCTTAGGTTGGTTCCCAAAATCTGTGGATCTTCTCTAGTTAGAAATCAGGGTTGAAAAAAAAATTTGCCAAGGCAGGACAAAAAGCTTTTCAAATGCTGCTTTGAATTTAAGGTATTTTTTGATTGGATTAAAACTACAATTAAAACTAACAACTTATGATTTATGATTTTAAAAAATGAAGATATAAACTAAAAAAAATGGAAAACTGCACAGAAAGGATTCATTTGCACTTGATTCCCCCAAATTAACTGTTTGTTACTGCCACTTGGTTTGCCCTCTGAAGTCTGACTTCTCTGACCTTCTGATCTACTAAGGTGCAGAATAATTTTGTAATTGGCACTGAGCACTGCAAGCATTAAAGAAATAGAAAGCAATTTTTTTACATTCACTTAAGACATTCAGTATTAATATAAGCCAAAAACTAAATGTACTCAAACCAGATTTCATGTGGATCAGTTTATTTTTGTGAACAGTACTAAATTTGCCAAGAAAAACTGTTGCTTCATGCAGCTATAAATTATAAAAGTTATGTATAAATAATATTTCAATGTATAAGTTAAAGAGATGTGCAATCACTTTCCTTTATATAGTAGATTTATTTTATTAAATTGCGCAGGCTGTACACACAGAGTGCATATAAAAATGAGATGCTGACCACCACTGTTCCTGAGATTCAGCGGACAAACTTGGCTAACGTAGTACTGCTGCTTAAATCGCTTGGTGTACAAGACCTACTCCAATTCCACTTTATGGACCCGCCACCTGAAGATAACATGCTGAATTCTATGTACCAACTCTGGATCCTGGGTGCCCTCGACAATACAGGTAATTGGGGGCAGGTATTTGGAAGTTTTCTTTTCTGAACCTAAGATTTTGAATCCGGGGATAAAATATTGGAATTATGGTTGGAAAAGAAATATTGTCAGTGAAATTATTTCAGAAATATTCAACACAATACAAGGTAAGGGGCAATGAAATAACATTCAGTCATTAAATCTTATTTTGTAATCTACAGCTCACTTAATCTAGTTTGTAACTGAATTTTGAATACCTTTGTAAATCTTACCTGATACAATGGATTAAATGGTTGGAGCCCTAAACCAGTGTGTGTTGTATATTGAGTTGGTTGGAAAGTCAAAATCTCACACTTGAGATCAACTGCTTCCACTACTATGGCTAGGACCTATGCAAAGATCCAAATAAGGTAACTGCAAATGTGTTGAATAGGGGATAATCTGCAAACATCTGTTCTGATTAAACAGTCACTGAGTTTTGGATTCACCAATTAAAGACTTTATTTTACAAGCATATGCTGAGAAGTACGCTTGGTAAAAGTCCACCAAGGTGTCTCCTTGATGTGAAGTCAGCATGACAATTTATCATCTTCATTCTCACATTTCAGTCAATGTTTTTAAGTTCTCACGTCATTGTCTATCCCAGCAGTTACATCACACATCCTCATCCATAAACAGAGCTATGCGTGTTCTACAGGTATCCATTTCATGTTCTCATAAGCTCTGGGATATTAGTAATCACTGTTAACCTACTTATTCCATTAACTCTGAGACTTAATTCAAGCTGTGAAGGTCCTTAAGATTTGATAGAATTCCTGTAGAATGTGTTGTAAATCCCATAATAGCTACAATATTGGCTACATTTCTCATCATGCTCAGAAAAGGTGCTCATAGCTATATTTGTGTATTCTAAGACTATTAGTATGCATTTAAATATCAGTCTTAAACAGTTGTATCAGTTCATCCCTCCTGTTGGCTCTGGCCACAAATCTGTGAGCCAGGAGGCTACTTACCTGGAAGTCCGGAGATCCTTCTGTAATATATGAGCATCACATCCCTAAACTTTCACAGTTAATCCTAGATCCTAATGATAGGCTGGAACTGATGTTTTCTGATGTCTGTGGCTAAGCACCTTTAAGGACAGTACCCCCGCCTTTTCTTGTTACTTGTTTGTTGGTCAGCCATTTCTGTCTCCAGCCACTGGCTTCTAGAAGCAAATACAAAATGGTTACCAAAAATATGATATCCACAAATCCTGCCACCACGTGGTGGTCTTTGTCTTCTACTGCTGCAGCTTGTGGTAAATGAAGGGGTTTACCAATGTTGCAAAGTTCATATACGTACTCTGGCAGAGGCATACCTCATAATGGACCATGTTGATATAGTCTCCTAGTTCACCTGTATTTCATGGAGTTTTGGCAACAATTGTCGATCAGTTCCTTGTGCTCAATCCAAACCTAGATTTCTGGCATAAATCAGAAGGTTGGGTTAGGGTCTCGCAGATTTTATCTGTATGGTAGCATCTTTACAATTCATTTGGGCAGAACATACCCACACCATATCCTTGAGTTGAGTAATTCACCAGTAGTTCCCTCGTTCGTGCTTCTAGATTAATCAAATTCGGGTCACTAACCTCCCTGTGCATATGTCTGGGTATGGCTCTGAATCAAATATCCCCCAATGTCCAACTGTGTTAAGTGAAATAAGTCCTCCGCCAGCATATAGAGTTAACCCTTTATTTTAGTCGTGCTTCTTGCAAAACTATGCCCATGAGTGTATATTTTGTCCCTCAGCCTGCAAGTTACAAGTCCTTAGTGCATCTTGGTTCATTGTGAGTTGTGATCATTTATACTTGAGGTTTGCTCTGAATTTAGAACCAAATTAGTGTAACTGAAATGCACTTTTTTTTGGCTCTTGTAGCTCGTTCCTCCAGAGCTTTACAATTCTCCTAGTCACCAATTAGCTGATTAAATATGTGCTCTGCCTAACCAATTAATTTTAGGATGGTAACTGCAGTTGGCTTTTAACTGTTCAACTTGTCGGTCAATCTTGATGTCTTTGGAGTAACATCATCATTGGGTCCCTTTCCTTATAATGTCCTTGGGAGACAATGTATCATTGGGATGCTGTTGACTTCTAATAACCACACGTTATAACACCTTACATCGGTGCATCCTAACCTGATGATGATATCAATTTATAATTCTGTGTTGACTGTATTGCCCTTCAAGTATCTTTTCCATGTGAAAGGAGGTAAATTGATCCATCCTGGTGAAATCTTAGTCAGTTCTACATTATCCCTTGTACCATTTGGGGCCTTTAGCAGCTGCCTCCTTTCTCCTCTTTGGGTGGTTGTTTGAACTGTCAGGATGCAGACATGGTGCTCTCGCCGATGTACACAGTGGGCACTTCTTCTATTAAAGCGTTACCAGGAGTGTGTTATCCATCACTGCTACCCCCGGCTGCTGTTAATCTGGTGTGGTTGAAGCAAAACAATTAAGAGCCTCTGATAACAAAAAGCGTCTGACTCTCCTGTTGTCAGAAACGGATGTGAGTCATACAAGCTCGAGCTAAGACCACTAGGAATGGTGTCACACCAAGTAGCATTTCTGGAAATTAAAATACCATACTCATCATTAAGAATTTCCTTTTATAATCTATTTTTACAGGATATAGCTGCACCAAACCTTTGGGTTAACAGTGTTGTTGTGTTTGATATTTAGTTGATATTTCCAAATAAGTAGATATTAATTACTCATGAAGTCACTCTGTGTCATAAAAGGGCCTTTTACCTTACTATCAATGTAATTAGGAGTGGGAGCTTCTGAGATAGTGACACCTGAACATCTCAATTTCTGATTTCTGTATGCACACTCATCCTTTGCCTTGGGAATCAATTCCAGCAACATGCTTTGTCTACTTTTCGGGTAGTGTCTTATGCTCCACAACCATTCTATCTCATTCACAAGCTCTGGACAAATTTTACACTCAAACGGATTATAAACAATACATCTTTAAAAATGAAAATCAAACATTTGTGACTTTGTTTGTTCTTTATCTTAGATGAGAACTTTTTTCGCCCTCAATGATTTGCTAAGTCGAGCTGCACATTTTGCATCTCAGAATCAGCTGACTGCTTACATCGGAAGGGTTCATCCTCTGGCATGAAATCTTAACCAGCTAATGGAGAGAATTAACCTTTCTGTTTTGTTCCGCCCTTTCGGAAAACAATCTCCATGCATTTGTGACATTTAATGTATTTTATTAATGAAAATTTTCCTGAACTAAAAGGAGCAAGGTTCTGTTTCAAACTCCAGATTGACTTTTCTGCCCCAACTTGTGGCTTGGTGGGAGTAGAAAGAACAATTTGTTTTCATAGAATCATAGAATCCTTACAGTGTAGACAGAGGCCTTTTGGCCCATCAAGTCTGCACCAACCTTCCAAAGAACATCCCATCCAGACACCACCACATTCCCTCCCCCCCCACCCCACTCTATCCCTGTAACACCACATTTACTATGGCTAATCCACCTAGCCTACACATCCATGGACACTGGCAATTTATCATGGCCAATCCACCTAATCTTTGGACTGGGAGGAAACTAGAGCACCCATTGCTGGAGTGTTGTCTGCTGAAAGAAGGGCTTGTCTCCTTGCACCTCGTCAGTTAACAGTATCTGTTGTCTTCCCAATTAGGCCTAATTCCAGAATTCTCTAAACACTATCTTAAATCCTCTAAACTCCAGCAAAGCCTTATCCCATTTCTCAGCATAGTGAAGTTCCCAGTCTACATCTCAGTCTTCCAGGGCAGGAGTCAGCCACTTGCTGTACTCGTGACCTTCGTCTTTAGACTCTTGAGTTGTGATTGCAATGTTTGTTTTCTTCTGTCGTTTAATCTCAGCCTGTTTGAACTCATTGTTTTAAGATGGAATGCGCATAATTTCACAATTGTTTTTTCACCCTTGCCTTAGGACTACTTATCCCACAACTCACCATGCTTATCTGAAGCTAATGTCAGAGCCCAGTCTTCCTTATACATTTGACCTTAGGTCTTATTATTTTAATTTGTCATGAATTTAAGGTATCTGGAATTCATTGCCTAAAAATGTGGTCGAGGCAGGAACCCTCAAGACATTTTTAGTAGTCCTTAGATGAGTACTTGAAACTACTTGGCATTCAAGATTACAGACTACATGCTGGAATATGGTATTAGATTAGATGGATGTTCGATGACCAGCATGGACACAACAGGCTGAAGGAGCCCTTTCATTGCTGCAAAAACTGTATAGTGAATGAATCTTTGAGTCCCCAGCTGAAATTTCAGTCTGCTTTGGCTGATGTCCTGCTTGCAATCTGATGGCTTGCTCTCTGGGAAATGGTCTCCCTGCTTTATGCTACAGGGCTAGGAAACAGTCCCTCCCATTTCACCCTACCAGCTCCCACTCTCTAGGAAACAGATTTACCTGCTTTATCTCACTGGGCAAGGAAATGTCCCTCTGCTTTTATGCTACCAGTTATTTTGCTATGAAACTGTCTTCCCCATTTTAGTCCTCAACCGTTCATTCATCAGTATGTTTCAATTTGTCCTGGAATTACATTTTTTTTTCTCTTGTTTATTCGAGGAACTAACCAGCAATTGTGGATCTACACGATCTCTAGTCACTGCATCCACAGACCAATTTCCTGATCCTTAACTTGGCTCATTAATGTGTGTTCAAAATGGACATTGGATGGTAAAATTAATGTACTCAACTTTGATGTCAGAGTTGATCTTGTGTCACCAATTGACATTGACGACCCTGGTTGCAGTGTCAAATTGTTGTGGTGGCTTAGCAGCCATTTTGAGTATTGGACTCTGCCATCACAGATTTTCTTTTACAAGCAAATACTAGAAGATACACTGGGAAAAGTTCACCAAGGTCTCCGTTGATACAAAGTTAGCGTGATAATTCATAGTCTTAATTTGACTATCTTAGGTTTTCAGTCACATATCCTTACCAGTAAGCAAGGCAATGCATGCTGTGCATTTAAATATCGATCTTAATTAATTGTCTCACTTCTCTACCATTGGATCTCGGTCATGTTCCTTTGCCATCATTGTGGCAAAATATACATTTTGTGGTGTTCCAAAGTGTCCTTGGAATGTTGATGAGTGGCTGTTTATTTGCTACAGTCCTGTGGTAATGGATGTGCTAAAATTGTCAGATTGAGAATGATCGGATTTTGTCCAAAATATATTGAACGAAAGGCAGGATATATCTCTTGTGCTATGGCTGTCTCTTGCTCACTTGCTCACTCGCTCTCTTGATCTTGCTCTCTCTGTTTTTTGCTCTTGTTGTGCAGTGGTGTGTCCCTACCTCTGGGCCAGGAGGCCAGGGTTCAAGACCCATCCCCTCCAGAGATGTGTAATAACATCTCTGGACAAGTTAATTAGGGCAAAAAAAATCCATGTCCAGAATAGTGAATCATTTATATAGTGAATCATCTGATGACATGGTTATACATATGATCTTGCTTTTCATGTTGATAAATGCTGAAATATGCTGTTGAAATAAGTTTCTCAAGCTACTGAATTGTTTCCTGCAGCTACTGAAATAGTGACAAAAGTAGGACACTCATTGGCTAGAAGTACAAATTAAGGATGTCAAGCTTCTTGAAGGCCAGTGCAGCTGTAACTATCCAGTTGAATGGTGAGCAATCCAGTGCACTCCTGATTAATGTTGTAGATTTGAGGTCAGGAGATAAAACCCCTTATTACATCATGGTATGCTTTATGCATTTCTAACTGGAACTGATGAACTGAGCAAAAATGAGCGCAAATCTGCATCTGTTCCTGCTCAGTGATACAGATGTTTACATGCTAACAATGAATGCTACCACATTATCCAATCAAGCTTAGTTTTAAATATTTTGATAATTAGAAATGTAAATGAATTTACTGATGAGATTGTATAATTGGTCTTTTGATCTAGCCAATTTATTTTTGACCAGTATGAACAAATGAAAATCTAATTTTATTTAATATTTCAAATATTTTGTACTATTTTTGTCTGTATAGGCAGTCTGACTCCAACTGGAAGGTTGATGGTAGAATTCCCACTAGATCCTGCTCTCTCAAAGATGTTGATAGTATCATGTGACATGAGCTGCAGTGCTGATGTCCTTATCATTGTCTCAATGCTTTCAGTGCCTGCCATTTTCTATCGACCAAAGGTATGTGCAAAGCTTATTTACTGATATTTTTTGTTCCCATGATGAAGAATGCCACTGGGAATTGCGAGCGTCACAGAATCTGTAACAATCTAGTGTTAAATTGTCATTTTTCATTAGAATAGAATTATTGTTTATCCCGTGGTATTCTCTCCCTCTTCCTAGAGAAAAGATGCGTAGGTTCCATGTAATAAAAGATCCACAATGTTACAGTTCCAGCCAGGAGTTTGTGGTGTGGATGCAGTTTTACTTTGCATCATTAAATGGCACAGTAGGATGCAGAATTACTTTCCATAAGATTTTTGTTAAGATTGTGGCACTCAGCAAAATGCTGGCATGTTCCTGCCTTAATAAATTATTCGATAAGTCAGATTAAGGAATAAAAACCCAAGTAATAGTTAGCCCTGAATAATTTTATTTAAGAATTAATGATTTTTGTTTTAATAGAATTTCAAATCCTTCCACCTCCATAATATTTGAATATTCCAAACAACCCCAGTAAAATGCTGGTCCAGCTTGCAAAGCCCACACCTCAATAGATGCTGGTTTATTAGTTACTCAATCCTCTTTCCATACTAATATACAACCTCCAACACCATGGGCTTTTATGTTATTAATCAGTAACATGTATTGTATCATACACCTTAAATAAAATTAAACATGTATAAAGTATGTGACATCTACTGCTTCCCCTTTATCTGTCTTGCTCGCTACCCACCTCAAAAAATAATAAATTTGTTAGGCATGATTTTCCCATCATGAAGCCTTGCTGACTGCATGTTCATTTTATGTATTTCTAAATGCTCTGCAATTACATCCTTTATAATAGACTCTAATATTTTCCTGATAACAGATGTTAAGCTAACTGGCCTGTACATACCTGTTTTATGTCTCTATCCCTACCTAAATAAAAGGTATTGCATTGTCAGTTTTCTAATCCTCTGGGTCTTTTTCAGAATCTAAGGATTCTTGGAAGATTACTACCAGTGAATCCACTCTCTCTGCAGCTACTTCTTCGATTTCCCAGAATGTACCATTAGATCCAGGGAATGCATTGGTCTTCAGCCCCAGTAGTTTCCCTAACATTTTTTCCTGTAGTGATATTTGCTGTATTTATTTCCTGTCCTCCTTTTGCCCCTTAATTATTTTAGTATTTTTGGATTGCTGTCAGTGTCTTGTAATGCGTCCTCTGCCATATCCTGGCTTCCCCAGATGTTCTCAAAGAGGCAATTGTTAACATTTGTCTCTCTCGACCTGAGTATTACTTACAAGTTTACCCTTAACATTTATCATTTCTCTCTTTCTTTTTTTGGTTGTCTTTTGTTGGTTTGTTAAAAACTTTTCAACCCTCTGATTTACCCCATATGTCTTTTAATTTGATGCTATCCTTAACTTCCCTGTTTTACCATGGTTGGTTTATCTCCTTCCAAGATTCATTCTTCTCACTGGGAAGTATCTTTGCTGTGAACCATGATTTACCTCTGTAACACCTGCCATTGTTCCTCAACTGAGTTTGCTACTGAACTCCCTTCTCAATCCACTCCAGATATCTCTGCCTTCCCTCTTTTATAATTATCCTTATTTATGTTTAGCAAATTTGTTTCCGAGATGTGTTCTTCCCTCTCAAACTGAATGCTAAATCCTACCGTGTTATGGTCACTGTCATCTTGGGGATCTTTTACTCTGGCATCATTGATTAAACCTGCTTCATTACACATCAATTACATCCAAAATAGACTGAACCCTAGTTGAATCAACAACTTTTTTTTTTATTCATTCATGGGATGAGGGCATTGCTGGTTAGGCCATCATTTATTGCCTATTCCTAATTGCCCAGAGGGCAGTTAAGAGCCTACCACATTGCCGTGGCTCTGGAGTCACATGTAAGCCAGACCAGGTAAGGATGGCAGTTTCCTTCCCTAAAGGACATTAGTGAACCTTATGGATTTTGCCAACAATCGACAGTGAATGCATGGTCATCGTGTTAGACTCTTAATTTCAGATTTTTATTGAATTCAAATTCCACCATCTGCCATGGCAGGGCAAGATTTGGACCCAGGTTCCCAGAACGTTTCCTAGGTCTCTGGATTAAAAATGCACCAATAATATTACTAGGCCATCAACTGCCCCTACAGAGGAAACTGCTCCAAATACATTATGCATTCCTGTTTGTGGTTATCTCAGCCATTCTGAGACTCCCAATCTATAAGAAGAATAAAGTCATCCATGATTGATGTATGCCTTTTTTACATACCCTCATTATCTCCTGATTTACTCTATGTTCCACCATATAGCTACTGTTGGGGGCCTATAGACTGTTTCTCCCAGTGTCGTCTTCCCTTGTCTTTATCACCGCCCATATGGATTTACATCTTCTGATCCAAGATCATTTCTTAGTATCATTCTTAATCCATCACATACTAACAGTAATATTCTACCACAGTATTCTCCCATCATTTTGAAAAATCACATGCCCCTGAAGATTTAGTTCCCAGCTTTGAATTCCTTGTAACCATTGTCTCCACAATGGCTATAAGATCATATCCATCAATCTGTATTTGTGCTGATAATTCATTTATTTTGTTCCAACTAAATGTATTCAAGTACGGGAGTGGCTAATTTAACCTATTTACTATTTTCCCCC